CTGCCCAAAATCTTTCTCTTGGATTGGCCTGGTTCCAAATATTCAAGTCTCCAACTTGTGGACCTTCCGGAGTGGAAAAGCGTACAATGCTGCCAGCAGGCACTTTCCATGCTTTGGCAGAACGGGGAGGCACGTAGATGGTCTGTTCCAATTTGCGTGAACCAGATGCAATACGGTCGTAAAAGTTACGATTAGCATGCAGTATACTACCGGGCGTTGCGTGGTATGCCGGTTGAGGCGCCGGGGGAAGTGCATAAGCCGAAGCCATCGTTGGTGCTGTGGGCAAGGTGTAGAACCGGTTCTGAGATTGGTTTGTATTCAGCCTAGAAGGTGTGGTTGACTGCAGATGATCTATATCTTGAAGTATTAGATCGCGGTCGACTGCCTATCTCTGCTGGGCATCACGACGTTACATCCAAGATTATGTAACACGCATCCTCAGGCTTGCGGTTTAAGGCTCTTGTCCAAATCCTTTTTGTGACTTCGCTGGCGGCGGTTCGGCCTCTATCGGACAAACGCACGGTTACAGAAGGCATTACTCACGCTTGCGCAGGGCGTCACTGCGTCAGTAATTGGAGGCCGATCTTGATTTATGGCACCTATCAAATCTGTCACGACCAATCGCCATTAATATACAATTTCACGCCTGCTCGGTCAAAGCAATATTTTGCTCTTGTATAGTTACGAAGGCCACAATATATTCCACTATGCCACGAATCCCACGATAGCTGCCACGCCTGCCTGTTAGGGAGAGTCTCGGCTTTGGCGAAATTCTAGCCGCTGTATGCAGGGCTTTTCCGCATCAGTAAAATCAATCTTGGCTGTCGCCAGTCGATTTCAGGTTACTTCTGAGGCTTACCGACCATCTTGGACTTTGACCTCATCTCAGGACTCCTGTTGATAAGCAAATCTCTGCTGTCCGCATGGATAGTAATCATTCGCGCTCGACCATATTGCAGGGTCGGCTTGTAAAGCCGGTTGCAAAAGCACACCCTCGTCCTGTCCCGTCCGTGGGTCCCTGCGAGGGCTTGTCCTGTGTTGGCAATGATTAGCTCGTGGGCTTTTCACCGATGCGTCCGCGCACGTGGATCTGTGGGGTACTGTACCTTTTCTGCTTCGAGGCAGGCTTGAATCCAATGTCGCTCTAAGGTTCGCCATAAGGTCCGCGAGACCTCGGACCCTCTGTATGGCTGTTCTTTTCCAGGTTCCCCAAGCCCACTATTGACTAGTAGATCGACACTGGTCAGAAGCAAAGCGCCCTATGGAAGCGCCAGTGCTCATCTTCTTTGTATGAAACGACGTAGACTCCGCGCGATGAGTATAACCCAAGGGGCTTGCCCGTGAGCTTCGCTCATAGACCTTCATTACCCTTGGTGCTGCTCTCGGATGAGCCTTACATTCTTTACTGTACAGAAAATCTGATTGGATCGCTACCTAATTGTTCCCCTTAGTCTATCTGTTCCTCTTTTCTTCTCCAAAGGTTTATGTTGCAATAGCTGAGCTTCTAGCTGTTCGAGAGCAGCAACTTTCTTACAGCACCAGTTCAAGAGCATTGCCCTATTCATAATGGAGGATCGAGGGCCACAAATCATGGCCGTCTGTGTCTTGTTTTTTGTATCGTCCTGGCTAGTGGTTTTGCTTCGTGTCTTTGTCAGGTTAGGAGCAGCATCCCACAACATAAACGATTCAACTAACAAGTGGAAAGAACCCAGATGATCAAAGCCTTCGGCAAAGATGACATAGCAATGCTCGTTACCTTGTTTCTCTATACGAGCTATCTAATCTGCCAGCTTATCGGAGTCAGACATGGTACAGGTCAAAAACGTGCTGCTTTGACGGATGACAACGCTCAAATTGCTCTGGAGGCCTGGTTCTTCTGCGAGCTATTCTACACTGGCTCTACCGCCATGCTCAAGATTGCAATCGGCCTTTTCCTTCTGCGCATCACTATCCATCCCCTTCACATCTGGATCATCAGAGTCATCATGATCTGTAGTGGTGTCATGGGGGCGGCATACGCCCTTATCGTTCTCTTCCAATGTCATCCCGTGTCCTTCTGGTGGGATCTTGAGACAGACATCTCAACGGACCAAAAATGCCTTGCCGCTGATGTTATGAGCGACACAACCTACGCAGTGTCAGCCTTGAACGCTCTAGCTGATTGGGTCTTTGCAATCCTTCCCGTCTTTATTGTCAAGGATCTTCAGATGAAGACGTCAGTCAAGGTGGCTGTCTCTGCAGTTCTCGGATTTGCTGCATTGTAAGAATCGAGTTCTGATCATAGCTTCTTGTTAATGATTTGCTAATGTATCATACAGAGGAAGCACGGCTACCATATGTCGCATCCCCTATCTGTGGACACTTAAGAAATATAAAGGAGAATTTCTCTACGATACATCCGATGTCGCTATCTGGACCACTGTTGAAGTCGGTGTCGGTATAATTGCTGGATGCTTCGCAACTCTCAAGCCTTTGATGAAGCAATTCTTCATCCTCATTGGTGTGAACTCGACTGATGATCCTGAGTCCGGTCTACCATTCTCCAGCCATAAGCGACCCTTTCCTAGCAAAAAGGGTTTCTCCATACAAGATCAGCCGCTCGATGTGCTTCGACCTGCGAACGATGCTGGTCTGACTACAACAACGGTTCGAGCCACAAAAGCTGTGGGCCTGTCAAGCTGGGCTGATCATGGACGAAGCGGCAGCGAGGAAGACATCTTCAAAGACAGCCGTACAGGAAGAGGGAATTACTTGGACACGAAAGGATTCGGAGGCGGAATCAGCAAGAGTGTGGAATTCACAACCATCACTGAAGAGCGCGATTGTTCACATGCTGGAGGATCGATTGGAGAGTCGGACGAGGAACGATCTCTGCCTAACGTCCCAGCAGTGGTTTACGAGAGGCTCTGAGAAGTCTCCTTAGCGGTTCAGTCATTCATTCTTTGGAGCAAGATACCCGCCGGGCGTTGATCGGCACTTTGGCAAGCATTTCTTTCTAACCTCACGTTTCACCTTCGGCATGGATTATTGTTCACGGAGTGTTCAGCATGGGCATGTAGCTATCAGCCGCTACGACGACACCAAAATATTGTACAGTAATATACTATTCTCCAAAAGTTCACTTGTTCGAAGTCAGACACAGCAGCAGGTAGCTGTCAATGCGGGGCGCGTGCAAGGCCTGAATGAAAGTTTAACTTGAGTAAAGTCCCTTGCTACTTTCTCACCAGATACCTTGATTTGACTTCATGACATGCGTACAGTGGACCCGATATTGTCTCGTATGCACGAGTGACCTTCGCAGTTCATGTCGTTTCATCTGAGATCATCCGACCTCTGCTGACCATATCAGCGTACCTCGGTGATGTCCCTGTCAACATCCAGCCGTCGGATGATATTGTGGCTGACGAGACACGGCTCGTGAGATACGCTTGCCCTATAGACGTAATGACATTCCCCAGTTCTCGTATTCTGGCCCACCGCCACAAGGCTAGTCGTTCTTTGCTGATTTTGAAGGGTACACATGGTTTACACCAGCACGATCGGTGCGGAAGACAAGGATACTGCGGGCCAATGATCTTCCCATTCCGAGCTTAATTTCGACTACATGGCTTGAAGGCTGGCGTATACTGTGCAATGTCTAATTTCCCATAGTATTACGACGTGTTGATGGCAGAAGTATCTGGTTTGGAGGAATATGTCGATCACGATACGATGCGCAACTCAGCATGACTGATTGATTAGCGTATCGGCACTCCATCGGATTATTGGTCACTGGACGCGAATCCGAACGAGGTACGACATCGTCCCGTCAATGGCGAAGACAGATATTAGCTACACAGCTAACTAACACCAATGACTCGTGTTTAGCCCCCATTGGCCTACCTTAATAATATACTTCATGACTCGTCTTTGGGTCGTCAGGTGAGGTCTAGATACTGGCGTGAGCCCGTAGAATAGGTTATGGGAATTATTGAAACCTTCGTATGCTTGAGACTTTTCACGTAGGGCTCTGGACATCGGCGGGAATAACCCCCGGGTCGAAGGGAGTCGACTATATTGTCCAAAGTGCTTCGCAATATAATGGCTGACGCAGCGCCGAGAAAGACACAGCAGTATGTCCCTCGACATGATGGTTGAGGACAAAGATAGGCAATCTCACAGTGGAGGTGGCAGTGTACGGTGAGAAGGGCGTTCGATACAAAAGGATACAAGCTCTGATAGTGTAAGTGCGTGGATTTAGCGCGGACACATGGACGAAGGAGTAAACCCGGAGTACATCCCCTGTTGTTGGTGTCTTACTAGAGTTATCCCCAAATTATCTCAGGCACAACGATGAGCCCTGGGCTAATTGCATTTGGGGAACAAATGTCTGATCCAGATTTCTGGAAAAGCGATCCCGGCTGAATATAAGCAACGGCCGAATGCTTGAATAGTACAGACTTTTTGTCAGTGCCTTCAGCATTGCTTTGCTCTTCATCTTGCTCTATGATATGATCTACACATTGGTCTTCTCTGTCTTGATTCCTGAAAGGGCTGACCAGGGGGGAATGATGGAAATGAAGAATGGCTATGTTTAGCTGGACTTAGCTTAGCTTGCATCATGCCAATGCTGTTTTGTGATCGTCACAACCCACTTGCAGCATAACACAAATGAATGGTATATATTCTACCCGACTTGTTATAAAGTCACACAAGTATGTGGTTCTGTGGTGTAGTTGGTTATCACTTCTGTCTAACAAGTTAAATCTTGCGCACAGGCGGTCCCCGGTTCGAACCCGGGCGGAATCATAGTTTTGCATCTTGTAACGCACGGTGTCGTAGGCTACATGCTTTTGTGCGCGGGCGTATGGCGGTGTATCTGTTTTGACGTGGTGAGCAGATTTTTCCCATGAGGCCCTGAGGATTCGGCAGGAGACTGGCGGACCCACTTCCCCTCGAGCCCCTGACTTCAGATTTTTGGCTTCATTTGTAGGTAGTATCGCCACCCTCCGTCATGAGTTGCTGCTGTAGCTCAGTGGTAGAGCGTAAGATTGCAGTCGCAGTCATCCTAAGGCCCGTCGTTCGATCCGGCGTAGCAGCTCTTTTTGCCTTGCTGTCTGATCCCCTTTGTGACTGATCATGGCGCTTTGCTTGTTGCCTTTTGACCTATGCATACATTGCAATTGGCAATTGTTGATATTCAGTAGAACACCAATCGACATACTGTTTCGTTCTTGCCTCAACAGGCTACACGCAACCAAGAGCCGTTTTCTGAGTTTTCACAAGCCGAAGCAGCATATGAAACATAGTTCAGGCTAGATCTCCCAGCAGATCTTCCATAGAGACTAGAGATCTCGCGGGTCTCGGATCGAAGAATATCCAAGAACAAGCACGGCTCGCCTGTTCGCACCTCAGCCGAAGGGCAGCGGTGAGATCAGTAATCCACAAAGCCATGACATCAGGTTCGAAAAAGGGTAAAGCTCATACAAAGCATGCGTCCACTGTAGCAATGCACAGATGCCAAAAGTCTTCGCCTTCGTATATCGTACAGAGCTATGAAACAGTCTGTGAGTGGCGTGTCCCTTGGAGATCTGTCGCACGTGGAGTGACGGGAGTAAAAGATCGTCGACCAGGTTTCCAGCGATCGTTTCGGAACGTAACCTACCAGTTTGGCATATCTCTATAATTGACTTCACCTGGAACGGCGGTAAGTGTGTCGAATATATCATGCAAGTAGACAGAGGAACGGTATGGGGAAACGAAGTTTCATGCGTGACTGTTTTAAGGCGGGATGATGACGGTGGCGGCCAACTTCCGACACTGGTCCCCCTCGAATTGAGTGTCTATACCATCCGCGACACTCCACCCCAGTCCTTGCAAGGGATCATTGATTTGGAGCGCTTGGTCATCTGTCGCGCGCAAACGAACGCATACAACGGAACGTGTACATGACGTGAGAAGTCACTGCTTGAATCAAGACCGACGACGCGTCCGCGACTTCCTATGATGAGCTCAACAACTGCGTCCAGCCGCCAAGGACCCCTTGCAGATTTCAGCCAGCTCTCAGATGCCATTTCAATTTACCAGCCATCGTCCGAGCGTGGTCCGTCCGATAGTAAAAAGCCCTCTCTCGTGGTCCTTTGCACATGGATGGGGGCCAACCCGAGGCACATAGCAAAATACACCAATAGCTACAAAGGTCTCTATCCAGATGCCAGCATTCTAGTTGTCCAATCAACGCTGGATGACATGACCTACCGCTCTTCTAGAACGCAGCAAAAGCGAATCGAAATTGCCCGCGACATCATTCTCAACACAAGTTCCGAGGGCAAAGTGTTGCTCCACATCTTCTCCAATGGTGGTGCCAACACAGCTTGCCAAATTGCTACATCTCTGCCCCCCTCACAACGGGAAAACATCTTCAGCGGCATGGTTCTAGACAGTTGTCCTGGCCGGAATGACTTTAAGAGAGCAAACAAAGCGATTCTCGCCGCCTTGCCCAAGAGTCCAATAACTCGTGTCCTTGGAACAATAATGGTGTATTTAGTACTTACCGTCATATTCATCATCGATGCGCACGGCGGGCAGAATGCAGTGACGCGTGCAAGAAACGGGTTGAACAATGATGCGCTCTTCGGACTCAATGTCCCGCGGTTATACATTTTTTCTAAAGAAGACGAGATGGTCGGGTGGAGCGATGTGCAAGACCATGCCAAAGAAGCGAAGCGGAAAGGCTATAAAGATGTCCAGGCGCTGGTGTTTGAAGGCAGTGGTCATTGTGCGCATGCCATGCAGTACAGCGACAGATATTGGAATGCGGTGAAGCTGATAGGGAATGGCGGTGTCGAGGTGAATTGAGATCGCCTCAATGCAAAGTTGTAATATATCGCACACAAACATTGGTGGTGTCATGTTCGATATGGTTGTAGGATTCTGTTACTCTAGTACATGACAATTAAGTCTAGTGAATGCAGGGCAGGGGTCAGAGCATATGGAAATTTCTCGTATCATGCCGCCAAAGATAGTGTGGCATGCGCTGAGGATGTCATGGCTTCTGGGGAATAATGGAAGACCAGTCTGCTGGGTACGGAAGGGCAAGGGTAAAAATGTAACATTACATGGATATGACTCTGGTCGTACGACTGATGACTTGCAATATTAGCAAAAAAAGGATTCCTGGCGAATGACGGAATCGAACCGCCGTCGAGGCCGAGTTGTTGACTAGATTTCTCGAGTATCCACAAGGCCGCATGCTACCCCTACACCAATTCACCCATTCAAGGGTCTGGAAAGTGAGTGAACCCACTTTAGGAATCACGTGATGCATTGCTTACTCAGTGAAGCTTATATATACCAGCATTTAAGCGAGGCTCTTCAAAATGGAAAAAAGTTGATTTTGCAGAATTTGGAAATGTTTACGAAACTGCTTTAGAAACACCATAGACATGCAAGAATAAAAAGAATAAAAGCAGATGATGATCAGAGTGGGATTCGAACCCACGCCATTTCTGACTAGCGAATGATGCACTCCGAAGAGTGAGACCTTAAGCTAGCGCCTTAGACCGCTCGGCCATCTGACCAATTGATGAAATGTTGGAGCGTTGTAGCGTTGATATCGTGAAAGAAACAGTAGGAGACGAGAGGAGCGACCAGGATTTCCGAATAATTCGGACCTACACCGGAACTTACATGACAGCCTCATTGTACCACCGAGATTGACCAGTCATGATGTCTCGGCCGAGGACAAGATTGGGGAGAGGTAACATGAATCCATGTTAAAGATGGCCATTATTGATAACTCTTGCTAGGCATTTATCGTCTTGTATGCCATAGTTGGCAGCGAGCAGTGTGCTAAAGCACGAAGTGCTCTCTGGTGTCTGATAGACGATGCTTCCTTGTGTGTATCACGTTTCCAGGGTATATACAGGTGAAGCCAAGGAGGTTTTGTAGATGTAAGCCGGCGCGTCAACGAGACGGTTTCAGTAAATGCGAAGAGACATGCCAATCACCTTTGACTTCTGGCGTGCATGTGGCAAGCAGAAGCGACGCTGCTGTTCCTGTCTCCAAGTATGGACTGTTTCGGTACTATGAGCGTGTGGTCGCCTGAAATGCTTGATTGTGGAGTGCTGGACGGAGTGGATTCAAGGTTCGACTCAGTGCCTACACGAGGATACCAGGCCAGACCCACATGTGTATTTGAATCCAGCTCTCACACTCAGTGATGTTCCGACGCGACGAGCTGCGCATTGTTTGCACAAAGTGATGTTTGGTTCGGGCACGTCATGGTTTCCCAAAGTGCCTACACCGGTCGCCGAAGCTGCTTCTTGTTTGTACAAGAGACGACGGGGACGAGACATGTCTATACGCTCTTTTGTTTGCCAAAAAGGTACATGGTGTTTCGTATCAATAGTGTCAACCCATAGTGCGTGATGTAGTGGCGTGTTGTTGTGATCAAGTGATGGTGCAGGAGACGGAGAGTGCTGCCTATCTTGACAGCTGGAGCACTGACCAGAGCGACGTCACCATATCTCATAGGTTGCTATCCGAGTCGGTATCGATTACGGTCTTTGTCTTCGTTTCACGTCAATAAGAGAAGCAGTCTATGAGGAGTGTGTGGCTCATTTCATGTGCCTTGTGAACAACAGTGTAGTTGGTAGAAGGCATTGTCATGCTCCAGACATGCTTTACAGTCCTCAGCATGCATTGCTGGTGATATCGTCGGCAACGCACATCATCAAATGGTCTGCCAATACAGCGACCATCGTCAGTATTTGCCCTTCTTGACCTGATGTTCCTGAATCACATTTCCAAGTACGAGACGTTCCATCCATTTCTGTTCCGAATTCGAAGATTACATATCAAATTATAAGTCCCGCGAAAAAGGGCTTTTTATATGGCTCTGCCATTCTCTACGAGCAGGGTGAGAGTATGTCTTCCATGTATTGTAAGGTGTACTTCCCTCTGACCCCTACCTTTGAACCCTTGTTGGGTTGTTCTATATCCATTGTATGGGCCTGCATATGTCAAACTATCTCGCTCAGAAAGACTTCGTATTCTACAGAGCTTTACGTCCACCTGCTTCACAATTGCATAATTGTAGGATCTCATTGCAACCATCATCCATTGTTCAACCTTCATAAAGGTATCAACTACATGCTCATGTATTATTCTCAGTCTCACTTAGTCTGTACGACTAACAGAAGTCAGCCAATTTGAACAAGCTCCATGTACAGGGTCGCCCAGCTTCAAAACCATATCCAGCTTGTTTTTGACGACATAGTCATTTCTTGAATAGGTATCTCTCAACACACGCCGATCATTCGAGGCTGATTGTTTCTTGATGTTCAACTCGTCCTGAAAGTGATTCCTGGGATCTGCTCACAATATGGCAGAGGGCTTGATTGATTGATTGATTGATTCATACGCTATGCGCTTACCACAGGAAGCATGAGCGGCTACTATTTACTTTGCTAAGTATACAAATATTTGTGGAGTCTGCGTCTCATTCTTCAGCTCTAACCGTTAATGTGCCTCTGCACTTGTTTTTTGCCTTCTCTTGGCGTGTTAACCTATATTATAGTGGGGACCCAAGCCACTATAATACAAGTTTCGTTTTTAGCGTGGGACAGCTCCACGGAAAGATTTTATGGGCCCTGAAGGATTCGAACCCTCGACTTTCTGTGCATTCAAACAGATCTGACGCCTTGGATGATGGAGATCTAACCAACTACACCACCGGGGCCTATGGCAGAGGGCCACATGCAATATATTTTCAGATTGCTTCTGCAGGCTTGGCTCAGTTGATTGTAAGAGTATATAATCTGCACTAAGCACATTTTTTTTCATCAACTGGTGAGATGGCCGAGCGGTCTAAGGCGCTAGCTTCAGGAGATCTTCGGATCTACTACCTGCTAGTAGAGCAATCTGCGTGGGTTCGAATCCCACTCTCATCAACATATATTTTGCCAGTTCCCTCGCCTCGTTCATGCGACTTCCAGCGCATAGAACCTCGTCTGTTTTGCTTTCGTGATGTCAATTTGACTACATAAGAAAATATTCGGGCCATGTTCGACGCATTTGGCCACGCTATTGCTATACAAGGTGTATTCCGCGCCAGGGAGAATCAGATCTGGCGTCTCACCAATATAGCGCGTCCTAATCACCCGTTCTGCGAGACATTGTATTGTCATGCATTACATTCAGTGACCTTGATTTGGCAAGAGGGAGCTATTTCATTGCTCTCGGCATTATCATGGTTGAAAACATTCCTAAGCTCAGCTTGCTAACAGGCCATCTTACGCGAACTATTTCCGCCCCAAGGTACCACCCTATCACACGGACACCGGTGTGCTTACGATATCGATGGCGTCGACCTGATCTCTATTTCAATCCACCTGCAAGCAATCGTGCGGTGAGAGCTGTCCACTCTACTGCCTCGCAGGATCCCAGGACTCTTCGAGACAACAATAACCGGACCAATGGACAACCTTAATGGACAAAATGGTACGCATAATGGAGAAGCACAGGTCTTCACGAAGTCAGGCTGCCTCAAAACTCTACAGAGACAACAAGAACTGATCGTGTTCAGAGCATGTAGAGACAGGTCGCAAAGTCTGACGATGAAGATTCTGATTGCCAGTCCTGGTCTGGGAAGTCTAGCAACCGCTGTTGCATGAATAGCTCGAAAGGGCCACACTGTGTGGAACAGGCACACAAGCTTGGAGAGTTATATTGAAGTCCAAGCAAGACTTGGGACAAACTGGCATCGAAGCTCTGTTATGGATTTCATCAAGATGTGAGTTGTTGACATCGGATCTGACATCACATCATGACTTACACCATTGCGGGCGGGAACTCCTTCAACATGGTCTTCTACCGTGTCGGTAGAAGTGATCCCACGACATGGGATACAGCCAATGCAATCACAGACATGAGATTTCAGTCCAAGAGCTGGGACAGTCAGTAAGTACTACCCGCCTCAGTGCCACAGACAAATCTAAATCAGTGAGCAGACACATAGAATAGTCATGATCCACATGGTCCCAAGGCAAGTAAAACCACATGTCTCCTACTCCGTATCAATCTGCAGCCAACCTCACGAATCACCAGGAGCAGCTATAGCAGTCAAGACGGAGCCGCCCTCGCCGAAGCACTAAGCCACGTCCATTTCTCCACCTCCCTGCCCTTTCCTCCTGCACATACGGGAAGGCGTGCAAGTCACACGCGCAACTCAAATACAACAAGCCAGTCTCGTTGATAGGGAATATTTCATTTTATGGATGGTCCAAAACAGCAAGCTAGAGAAGCCAAAAGCAGAATGAGGTACTAGGAAAACTCTTTACCGCAAGTCCGAATCAACGAACCGACTCAGTCACGCAGAAATGAGCTTACAGGTATGATGCAGTTGAGAAACAAGACGCGCTATAACGTCTGATTTTGCCTCTGACAAAATGGTGGGCAGAAGATGCGTGAGGCGAAGAAGACACGCAGACTACAAAAGCTGAGTAATCCAACTCATCGCCTCGACTTTGATCCGAGTTTCTGTACTCTAGTTTTCTTTACAGATGTGCCGTTCAAAAGTCGCTTCTACGGATAAAGAGGCAGTAGGGCGTAGGAAGATGATCGCTGCTGTCTTACTATCCATATCTACTTGACCTCCGTTTCATGTTAATCTCCATCTGCAATCCATCTCCAATCCATCTCCAGGTCATCTCCATTGCATCTCCAACTCCCTCAACCCAGATCATCAACTCCTTAACTCCAAATCCATTCGACATTCAAATCACCACATCAAGCCAGCACCCGCGCACAAGCACTCAACACCATCGAGACCAAGCACATCACAATCGCCCTTTCCTTCCAGAACAGCCCCCGAATCATTCCAAAGCGTAGTCTTCAGACTAACCCCTCATCTCAAACCTGTAATCACCTCAAGCAGACCCCTTCAACTCCAACTTTCTAACATATTTCCCTAAAATGCTCATATTCTCCAAAATTCGAATAAGCAGACACCCCAAGCTTTAGTCACTAGACGTATCAATTTCTACCCAATTGCCTATCAATTAGAGTACTTGTATATAAAAGATACGAGACACGAGAGACGCAATCTATTCTCGGATCTAGATGCGGTCTTGGCTTTCTTAAATTAATGATTGCTGATTGCTGATTGCGGCTTTAGAGCATTAGGAGAAAAAGATCAAGAATATAGAGAAGGGGAAGGAGGGATACGAGGATAGTAATAGGAGAATAAGAACCAAAGGAATGAACGGTAGGG